TTAGACGCTGTAGGTTTCCACCCTGGCTGGGAAGCTATCATTGCGTCTGGTAGGAGAAGCCTATTTACAGTTGCTCCCTGTGGGTTGCCAGGCTCCTAGCAGAGCAGTTCACACCAGATGGTCCCTGCGGCATCCTGGAGATGATCTCCTCCAGATTCCTGGCGAAGAGGAGGTTCCTGCAAATCTCCAGCTTGGATTCACGCTGGCCTCAGCGTAGTCAAACGAGAGCATCGGCCGTTACGACAGACTGTGCCCAACGTGAGATCCTTCAGCAGCCCCGAGCAGCAGAAAGCACCAAGCGCTCCCACCAGTGTTACATGTAGCTCGTTCAGGATATATACATGTTTTTTCAGGATGCCTCATCATAGCCCTTTGCAAAGTCTCTCGTTAATTTTGGGTGCAGTGCAGAAGCCCTGACCGTGCAGACGTGCCCTTGCAGCCAGGGATGGAGCCCAGGCATTTGCTCTAAAGGCACGACCCAGATCTGAGTGCTAAGGCTGTAGGAAGATGGTTGGGTCCTGATGCAATCTGGTGGGTCAGAGCTGCTCATGTGTCAGCCTTTGAAGATCTGGAAGAGGAAGGAGCAAACTGCACCGACCCTTTCCCAGCCACGCTCTGCCAGAAAATCAGTGGACATTAGGTGACATTAGTGGGTGGGAGAGAAACCCTGTCTGATGACACACGACATGCTGAGTGGGTTAAAGAGATGAGAGCAGTGCTCCAGCATGTCCCACCACTAAAACACAGCTCCCAAGAGCTGGAAGTGAAGCAGCAATTCCAGCAATGGCAGCTCAGAGCTGCCCAGCTCCTGCTGTCTCAGCAAGCCACTGAGTTGGGCATAAAAAGCTGGAATTTTCCTCCGAGGAGAAGTGACCTTCAGCTGAGGTGACTCAGAGCCTGCTGTTGGGATTAGCGGTGAGGGAGGTTTAACAGCAAGAAGCTTTTGTCCCGCTGTGAGGCTTTCGGTCTGTAAGTGCAGCTGCGCTGAGCGCTGTGCAGCCTCGTGATGCCTTTAGGAGGGTTACAGGAGCTGATGTCTGCACAAAAGGATCTGGAGCAAGCAGCCGTGCTGCGGGACATGTGGTCTCCCACAGGAGCCCACTGCTGGCTCCAGGGTTTTTCCAAAGCAACGTCCGAAGCGCTCTGAGCTGTAGAAGATGAACTCGGCACCTTGAGTAGAGCTGCAAGGGCACCGAGGCAAGATTAGTGCCTGGCAGAGATGGTAGGGAATCAACAAGACAGGGCTTAGAGTGTCATAGGTTAAAAAAGAGGAGAGTGAACCCAAAGGTCCTCCAAGAAAAGTAGCTGTGGTGTCAAAAGTACATGACACCTGGAGTGTGGCGGGTGGTGGGGTTTGGAGCACAGCGATGGAAGTGAAGAAGGCTGTGGCAGGCCGGTGCAGTGCTGCTTTAGCTTCTGTCCCTCCAGGACTCTCTGGAAGGAGTGTCTGGAGAGAGCCCCAACCGTGGGCCGGGAGAGCAGTGATTGCCTGTGACTTGTGAGAACATCTTCCTCCCTTCCCGATCTCCCCTGTGCTCATCACTAGCTTTGTCTTTCCCATGCCTGGAGCTGTGTGGTCCCCTTTCCCTGTGAGGCATTTTTCTCCTCTTGTGTTTGCAGGTTGCCTATGGAACCACTGAAAACAGCCCCGTCACCTTCATGGGATTCCCCAATGACAGCTTTGCCAGAAAAACCGAGACTGTGGGATGCATCTTGCCCCACACAGAGGTGACCATGACCCTCCCGACCTGCTCCAGGTCCTCTGCCAGCAGCAGACCTTGGTCCATCCTCCCTGTCTGTTTGGCTCAGGCATCCCACCCTAAGCCCTTCTTCTCTTCTGTTGAAGGCAAAAATTGAGGATCCAGAAACAGGGCAGTTTGTGCCTCTGAACACTCCTGGAGAGCTTCAGATCCGCGGCTACTGCGTCATGCTGGGCTACTGGGATGACCCTGCCAAGACAAGTGAAGTGGTCACTGCTGAGAGGTGGTACAAGACAGGGTGAGTCTGGAAACAGCCCTGCTCCTCCCAGTCTGTCCTGCAGGCTGACGCTGGATAGGGACGGGTGTGTACGGGAGTGCCTTGGCTGTGACTTCCAAAGTAGGGAAAACTGACCCAATTTACCCCTCTGATCTGTCCATGAAACTTCAGAACAGCTTTTGGCACAGAGCCCTCAGTGCCAAGTGCCCCTGGAGATGGGGATAGTCACTTTGCCACTGGTGTGATGGAGGGGCTGTGGGGTACACCACAGGGGCAGGAATTGCCTCCCCCAAGCCCTGATGTTTGTGTGGATGCTGACGATGGCCATGTCTGGCTCTAGCGGGAGCTCTTTGATCTCTTCCATACGTTCAGGTGGCATCTCAGTCATTGCCCTCCAGATACCCTGGCCTGGCCTCCAGACCAGGCTGGGTGGGAGCACCAGCCATTCTTCCACCCAGCTGGGACAGGACTAGGGGTGTGGTGTCGTTGCAGGGACCTTGCGAGTCTGGATGAGCATGGCTACTGCAAAATTATAGGCCGTTGCAAGGACATGATTATTCGGGGAGGAGAGAACATCTACCCAGCAGAACTTGAGCAGTTTCTCCACACTCATCCCAAGGTCGAGGAGGTCCAGGTGAGAAGGAGGGAGGTGGGGTGAGTGAGCAGGCATGGCTCCTGTGGTGGGAAACCTGTACACAAAGCTGCTGGGACTGCTGCTTGGATGTCTCCCCCTGTTTTCAAGCATCAACTTTCATGTAGTGTCGGTTGGCAGGGAGGAGGGGAGAGGCTCGTGGTGTGGAAGGGGCAGACAGAGCTCCTGGCATGGGGCACGTCGGTTTGGGCAATCCCCTCCTGCACCAGCTTCGTGTCTGCTAGTAGTGACTATCATTCTACAGTTTTTAGCCTGCCTGTCCACTTTCATAGCTCCCTCTGAAATTCTTACTTGGAAAGCAGTCTGGAAGGACAGTTTTTACTGATAATTAATTACTAAACTCTTAAATCCAAAAAGACTCCTCCAAAGAGTCCCTGGAGATGAGGAGTGAGACTTAGTTTCACCCCTTCAGAAGACAGCAATGATTTGCAGCGTTGAGCAGCTGCTCCCAATCTGCTGGGATTGTTCTCCTCCAGGTTTCGTGCCAGACAAGTTTCCCCATAAATAAACCAGTTATTTAGTCAGTGTTGTGCCTGTGCCAGGCTAGCATCTCCCCTTGGAACAATCCCAGTGCAGATGGGTTGCAAACCAGCCCTGTTTATGTAGTTTCTAGGGCTTTATGTCACTGCTCTGGACTCAAAAGGATCGACGTGTCTCTAGGATTTTGAGATACCAGTTCAAGGCGGGAAATGACAGTAGGAGTCTTGTGAAATAGTGTGAGCAAATTTTAGAGAGAGATCAGGCCTGGGAAGCCATCTCCTGGTGTCACAGGGAGTGGTCCACTAAGATCTGCGATTATAAAGGTTTCAAATTGTCCTCTAATTCAGTTTCATCCCTCTCCTGTCATTCCATCTGGAGATCCCAAAGCACTTGCAGCAGCCTCCCAGGTGTCCCTGTTGGTCGTGAAATCTGTTGCCCTCTTTTTTGGGGAAGCAGAGGCACGCAGAGGGAAAACAGGTCCATGTTGCACCCACGATGAGCTGCTGCCTGGCTGGTCTGACTCAGCCCTCATTCCAGTGACTTTGCAAAATCAAAAGAAAGTGCTGGTGTCTGGGCACCCAGCCTGCTCTGCCACCTTTCCTCTGGCAGGAGGTTCAGATGTCCTCCCAGGAGGGCTCGGTGTCATGTAGAAAGCACTGGTGGGATGGTCAAACAGCTCAAGGTGCTTTTACGCAGCCCCCATGCCACGATTCCGGCATCCTGGGATAGAGGTCAGGGCTCGAGCTGTGGGCCAGCACACATACCCTGTGGGAGGAGAGGGATGTCCCCAGGGGTCACACCATCTGCTTGTCCCAACTAGGTGGTTGGCGTGAAGGATTCACGGATGGGAGAAGAGATCTGCGCCTGCATCCGAGTAAGGGCTGGGCAGGACTGCACCAAGGAAGAGATTAAAGCTTTCTGCAAAGGGAAGGTGGGTCTCCCAGTCCTCAGTTTCCTGCCAGACCAGTATGCCCAGCAGCTGCTGAGGACTTGCAGATGGTAGCCCAGGGATTTTGAGCAACTGGGGATCCAGTCCTGGCAGTCCTGGCTTGGGTATTACTGGCTGGGCTGGCTACGCTGTTCCCAGCTGGTTGTGTACTGGTTGGCTTTCTCTTCCCAGATCTCCCATTTCAAGATCCCGCGGTACGTTGTGTTTGTGAGTCAGTACCCACTCACCGTCTCAGGCAAGGTAAGAGAGGTGCTGGGACAGGGCAGGAGCCTTGGCCTCCTGTCCCATCTCCTGTCTGAGTCTCTCCTCCTCTCTGCACTTTATTCCAGATTCAGAAATACAAGTTGAGGGAGCAGATGGAGAAGCACCTTCAGCTCTGAGCTCGGAAGAGAAGGAAAAAACAGGATAAATTGGCCCCACTTCAGCTTTTCACCTGTGCCTTGGGCTATGCAGTGGAGACCTTCTCTCCCTGACATCAGGCTGATGGCCCTTTTAGTCAATAAAACAGAGTGCCTTTTTGTCCCAATTGGGTTTGTTTGTTTGCCAACAGAAATACTGTGGTGTGAGGAAGGGATGCTTATTTCTGGAAATCTGTCCAGTTACTGAAAGACCTTATAAAGGTTTTAAAATCTTGTGTCTCTTTGAGCAAATTGGCTGCAGCCATTTCAGAGAACTTTAACAGGTGATGTGAGGTATTTTACTGGTATTTTGAAGTCATAACAGCCTGGCCTGACTTCCCAAGGTAAGTGAATGCCTTCTTTGCTTGGGTGTGGCTGAGAATCCTAGGTCATATAACACAGCTGATGAACTTGAAATGAGGGGTGGGGGCTTTAGAGAGTGAGACTTTGCATGGGAAGGGGCTCCCTACAGCTGGCTGGAAAAGCTCACCCTGCTCCCACACCTCCCCTGGGCCTTCTGACCCCCAAAGAAACTCCTCCAAGGTAGACTTGGCATTGTTTATTTTGTTGTTTTGGATAAGACAGACAGTAAGGATTTTGCAGAAATACCAAAGCTCCTGTCCCATCAGCAGTGTGAGGCAGTGCATTCGTGGGACAGCATTTTACGGGAGTTATTTGGTACCTCCCAACCATGAAACACTACTCCGAGAAGTGGAAGAGCAGAGCTCCTCTTCCTTGCCGGTGGAAGTGTCCCACCCCAACTGGGAAGCAGAAAATGTTGCTGCTGACTCCCGCTGATCTCCCGGCCATCCCCTTCCTGATTCCTTCCCGAGCAGGGCTAGCGGCCGGGCCCCCACCTCCGCGCTGGGGCTTCCTCGGGTGGGAGGGGGGAGATGGTGCAACAGGGAGAGAGGTGAAGTGTCAGCGAGGTCTCGATCTTGGATCTCCCAGCTGGACTGTGGGCTCTACCCATGGAAGCAGATGAAGTGGGCAGCAAGCCCACAGTTTGTACCTGCTTTCTGAAAGAAAAAAGCGTATGGGATGGTTTGTGTCAGACCCCTTCTGTACAGTGTCTCTCCAGCAAGTTCCTCCAGCTTGTGGGACTGCTGTCAGCATGTTTCACTGGCTTCACCTCTGCCTACTCTGGAATAAGAGGGATGTGTGCAAGCAATCCTCAAGACTCCTTCCTGTTCTGGTTTTAGGACCCTTGTAAACCTTCCTTCCTGGAGGAACTGTCACCTACAGCACAGCAACTGCAGCCACTGACCTTGGGGACACAGTAGACCTCGAGGTCTGATGTCTAGGAAGGACTTTTTACCTTCCTTTGCTTCCCACAGCACCAACCCAGGTGCAGGACAGGCCTGCAGTGAGGAGCTTCTCCTCTGGTTCCTGCCTGGTACCTCCACCCTTTGCACAACCCCTGTGCTGCCCAGAAGCGCCCCATGTACTCACCATCATGGTAAGAAATGAAGGTGAAGTCAGCTCTGGCTTGTGGGGGTAGACACACTGCTGAGAAACACAGTGAGCACAGGTCACAGCCAGCACCCAGGGGGACAGGCCCCAGTCACCCCATCCCTGCTCCCCGGAGCTCTGCTCATGTCCCGGGAGCAGTGGCGAACACCAGCAGAGCCAGAGTGCCCAAGAAACCTTCGCTGCCATCCCCCTCCCCTTCCCCGGGGCACATCCAGCCCTCGGTGGGCCAGGGCACCTCCCGAGATGTCCCCTGGCCACCCCTGCCCCGCGGGACGCTGCAGCCCCGGCTGCAAATACTCACAAGAGGAGAAGGACCGACGGACGACACGCGGGGCTGGCACCATCGCCTCGGTGTGCGTGGGGCTGCAAGCAGGCTCCAGGACTTCTGTCCTTTCCTGTACTCGGGTCCGGCTCTTATAACCCCGACTGGGAAACTCCCGGTGTCCGGGGGCTCTCGCCCGGGAGGGTGGGAGGGTTACGTCAGGCGTGGGTTACTCCGAACTAACCCACTCCTGGCCTGGAAACAGGAATCTGCGGCTACAGCTTTTGTCATAGGCATTTCTCACTTCTCCGTGGCTATTAATAGAGCAAAATAAGGAAAAAAAAAAAAAATAAAATAAATAACGTGTGGGATAGTCAGCACGGGGTTTGCACAACCCTCCGCGGGGACATGCCACGGCTCCCTCCCTCGAAACGCTGAGCAGTCCCTGACCCGGCAAACCCTGCCCGAGCCGCCGGGGCCGGTCCCGGGGATGCCCGACCCCTCCCAACGGGACCGTGTGCCCGGGAGGGGACATCGGCCCCGGCACCCCCCCCCCCCTCCTGCCCCTCCCCACCGCCCCGGTGCCGCCGTGCCCCCGGAGCCGGCCGAGGATCGGTGCCCGCCCCGGGGCGGAGCCGCAGCCCGCGGGGGCCGATGGCGGCGAGGGGGTGGCGGGCGGCGGCGGCGATCGCTGCGGCGAGACCCGGTGGGGGGGGCCCGGGGCCGGGATCGGGCCCCGCCTTGGAACCGGCCCCCCCCGCCACAGCCGCGCTCTACGTGCACGTGAGCGGGGACCCACGGGGCTTGGACACGGGGGCGGGGGAGGACCCCGGGTTTGCACACTTGGGTACACACGCGTGACCTGCACACAGCAAGGGTGTTCGTGGGACTTCGGGGCTTGCACACGTGGGAACGCATAGGGGACCTGGGGCGTCGCACACGTGGGGGGGGGGTGAACGTGGGACCATGGGGCTTGCACGAGTGTGTGTGGGGGATGCATGCAGGACCCTGGGGCTTGCACACGTGGGGTGTGCACAGGGACACCGGGGTGGCACACGGAGGGTGGGGGGAAGGTGCACGAGGACCCCGGTGCTTGCACACATGGGGGGAGGGGGGGAACATTGAGGAGGGTGAACGTGCAACCACGGGGCTTGCACAAGTGTGGGTGCCTGCAGGACCCCGGGGCTTGCACACGTGGGGGGACAGCCCAGCCTTGCACATCACGGGCCACATGTGGGGGTCCCCTACCATGCACGTGGAGGGAGGCGCTGAGGGGGTCCCCAAGCCCTGCATGTGAAGGGGGTGGGGAGGGCGTAGCGATGGGGGGGGGGCACGTGTCTTGTGCTCATGGGGCAGGCGGGGAATGCTGGGGCCTGTGCACAGGGCTGGGTCTGTCCCCTTCCCCAAAAGTGGGGTGCCTGGGGGGCGGGGGGGGGGGGGTTTGCCCGTCCCCCCATAGCACCCCGTGCTCGCAGTGGCCCTACTGCCGCAAGCGCTGCTCCTACTGCAACTTCAACACGTACGTGGTGCCGGCAGTGGCCGAGGCGGCCGTGCGAGCCTGCCTGGTGCAGGAGACACGCACCCTGCTGCGCCTCAGCCAGGTGCAGAGGTGGGTGCACGGGTGGGTGGCACAGAGGAGTGGGGGGGGCCCTTCAGGGCCCACCCGCAGCCTCCCCCAATTTCTACCCTACAGCGTCACCTCCGTCTTTTTCGGCGGGGGCACCCCCAGCCTGGCCAGCCCCCACACCGTGGCAGCGGTGCTGGAGGCCGTGGCAGGGGCTGCCCACCTCCCCGCCGGCGCCGAGGTCACGCTGGAGGCGAACCCCAGCTCAGCCAGTACGCCGCGCCTCGCCGGCTTCAGGGCGGCCGGTGTCAACCGCCTCTCCATCGGTGTCCAGGTGAGAGGGGGGGGGCTCTGTCCTGTCCTTGTCCCGTCCCCCTCCCCGCAGCCCCCCCGCTGCCACCGCGCTTCTTCTGCAGTCGCTGGATGAGGCCGAGCTGCAGCTGCTGGGCCGGGAGCACACGGCGGCGGAGGCACGGGGGGCGGTGGAGGCAGCGCGGGGGCTTTTCCCCAGCCGAACCTCCATCGACCTCATCTTCGGGCTGCCAGGGCAGAGCGGGGACGCCTGGGCCCGGGGGCTGGAGTCGGCGCTGGGGCTATGCGACGACCACGTCTCCCTGTACCAGCTGACGCTGGAGCGGGGCACGGCGCTGGCGGCACAGGTTTGGGGGGGGGCCCTGCCAACCCCCCCCCAGGACCTCCTGGCCGACATGTACCAGGTAGCCCGTGCCACACTGGTGGCCGCTGGCTTCCGGCACTACGAGGTCTCCAATTTTGCAAGGAAGGTGGGGTGCCCCCCCCCCATGCCGTGCTCCCCCTCCTCGCCCCTCCAACAGGCTCAGCCCCCCCTCTCTTTGACCGCATGTGATTCTCCCCCAGGGCGCCCTCAGCACCCACAACCTCTCGTACTGGCGGGCTGAGCAGTACATCGGCGTGGGGCCGGGTGAGCTGGGGGGATGTGGGGCGCGGGTCTGGCAGGGGGTCATGTGCCCCCTGAACTTGTCATGTGTCCGTCCCCCAGGGGCACACGGGCGGTTTGTGCCGTGGGGCGAGGGTGGCCGCAGCCGGGAAGCCCGTGTCCAGACGCTGGAGCCTGATGCCTGGATGCGGGAGGTGCAGAGCCGGGGGCACGGCACCAGGAGGCGGGAGGTGCTGAGCCCGCTGGAGCAGTGAGTTTAGGGGGGGGGGGGGGGGGTGTCCCCACCACCCTCAAAACCCCTGCCATGCCACCCCGCAGCTCGCCCTGTGCCCGCAGGTTGGAGGAGGTGCTGGCCCTGGGGCTGCGCACCGACGAGGGCGTAACCCACGAGGTGAGGAGCCACGCGTGGGAGGGGAACCCCAGCGTCGAGCCCACGATCCACGGCTAACGGTTCGCCCCCCCCGCCCCGGGCGCGCAGCGCTGGCGGCACTTCTCCCCCCACCTCAGCCTGGAGGCCGTGTTCGGGGTGCCAGGCGAGGCCAGGGCCCTGCAGCAGCAGGGCTGGCTACTCCTGGACGGCGGGTGAGCCCCGAGGGGTGCGTGGGGGGTTGTTCCCGAGTGGAGCCGGGGCTCACCCCACTGCTTCTTCCCCAGCGGCCTGCGGTGCACTTGGGAAGGCCTGGCCCTGCTGGACTCGCTGCTGCCCGCCCTGCTCTGCCAGCTGCAGCACCGCTGGACCCCGGGAGCCGCGCCCGGCTGCGGCACCGGAGCCCCGAGAAGGAACGGGAGCGGGGACGGGCCCGGTGGCGGGGCTGTGAGGGGGAGCAGCCCCAGCTAGGCCGCTGCCATGCTGCGCATGTGCGGGGCGGGCAGCCGGGGCGGTGGCGCCCCGCCTTCCGGAAGCGGGACCATAGAGCGGCGGGGGGGTGGTGGTGGTGGTGCTGCCTCTCTAGGCGGCGCCGGAGGGCTGGTCTCGATGGTGTGGGGAGCGGCGTTGCCACGGCGACCGGGAGCGGAGCGGCCCGGCGGGATGCGGAGGCGCTGCTGGGGGCCTGGTGCGGGCAGGGAGCCCTCCGGTACGGCCCCCACCTCCCCGGTACGGCTCCCCCCGGGCCTGGCACCTCCCCCGGTGCGGCCTCCCCACACCGGTAGCGCCCCCCCGGCCTGGCAGCCGCTCGGTACAACCCCCCTCCTCCCCGCCCCGGTACGGCCCAACACGGCCCGGGGCCGCGGCCTTGCTCGCACGGGCTGGGGATCCCCGCCACTGCCGAGCTGCGCACCATAAACAATCCCTTCCCCACGTAGTGAACCCCCTTTATTTTTTTTAAACTGGAATGGCTGCATGCATGTCCAGGAGATTTGCAGATTAAGGATAAAGGAAGAAACAAATCCTGGGTGGGATTGCCTCGGCTGTGGCCCTGCCCGGTGGTGGCCTGTGCTGCAGAGCGCTGCCCTGCACCCGGCTCTGCAGGGGATTTGCTGTTTAAGAGCTTTTTTGCTATTTAGGAGCTTCTGGAAATCCAGTGGCATGTTATCTGGGTTGTGCTTGCTGCGTATAGCGCAGCCGTGCAGGGAGGCTGTGTGCGGCTGGAGCAGGAAACTTCAGGAGTTTGTTCTCCAACCTGTGGGATACACAGGCTGTATTTATCTCGTCTGTTGTCTCTCGTCTGGAATAAAGCGTGATGCAGTTGAATCCTAGTGACCCCGTTTGGTCCTTGTAGCTTCTCAGAGTTTGATTTTCCAATTATAAGAGATGCTGAATTTAATTGTTCTGTGCAACCTTAAAAAATCAAACCTAGAACATAGTTCAGCTGGAAATGAATAACCTGGATGAAAGAAGAAGATGGTGTTTCCTTGGGAGACTGAAGAGGAGGTCTCTTCATCTGTTCTTTCAGACAAAAAGGGAAAGACACATGAACTGTCCTCATCAACAACTGCAGAAGAGCCTGAACCCATGTCACGTGTTCTGCAAGGTGATGACATCCAGGCTCTTGCAATTAAGATGGAGGACCTGGAGAAAGTATGTATCTTTACTGACAGAAACCGCTACCTTAACTGACACTCTCATTTTGTGTTTAACAGAGGGTGCTGTCCATTTATTTAAATGAAAGTCCACTCTTGGAGTTCTGTTTTCAGTCCATTTTGTCTGTCCTGCTTTTTATGGCTTGTCAGATCATTGGGTTCAGTTGCTAAAAGTAAAGGATTATTGATCCTTACACAGCCTTTTCAAATGGAAGGTTAAGTCATCTGCCTCTTCAGAGTTCCATTTCCAACTTTCTGGTCTAATAAGACGTATAAGTTGTTAAGTAGCTATTATGGCATCCCTTTCAAAACTTGGGTCAAACTGTGTGACCATTTGACGCCAAGTGACGCAGCAGAAAACTGTTGGGGAAGTGATTTAAAACTCTCTTTTCTCCGCCCCAGTTATAGACTAGAGTCCAGAAGAGTAAGACAATAACTAAGCTGGTATCTCCACAGTTGTGTAACATGCCTCCTAGGGGAGGAACAGCCTATGCTGATATGACTTCTCTGTGTATCCTAGAAGGATCAGAAGGAATGAAGGTGAGTCATTATGTATTTAATTGCATTGTGACTATTTTCTGAAGCTCCATGCTCCACACCTTCCCCATGATGCTGGGAGAATTCCAGTTAGGAGGAAATACCTCGTTCGAAAATACCGACCCAAAGAGGCAAAGAAGGAGGCACATCTCCTCGTAGCATATCCTGCTTTCCCCAAAACACCCAGGGAACCACTGACTTTTTCTGGTAGGGTTAAACTTCACATCTTATCTTTGGGTTTTGGTTTTGCTAAGCCTATTTTAAGTGACGTGGTTCTAAGGTTGTGGGGTTTTCTTTTTTTTTTTTTTTTTTGTGTGTGTGTGTGCTGTAGGACCAGGACTGTTTGGTTATGGCTGTGAAGAGATTCTCCCCCATCACATTTTGGGAAGTCTCCAGGAGTTCAAGATGGAAGCCTTGGCTAGGGGAAACACTCAGGTTGGTTTGTAAAGTTACGAAATTCAGCTGTGCGGCACTTTTCTAGAGGTGGAGTGCAGTGCCTACAGTATCTTTTGATGCTTTTCAGCACCTATCAGGAACAGGTCAGGCCTGAGGTGTGGTTTTCCCAGCCTCATCATACTCTTCAGGGAGGGCTTGCCTTCAGAGAAACTGCACCAGCAGGTTTTGAAGTCCTGTGTGCAGGACGAGGTCATGGAGGGAAAAATTACAGAGGCTTCCTCTTCCATCTGTGCTTCTGCTGACGCCGTCAGGCTTGCAGGGGAAGGGCTGGGGTTGCAGCAATGCCATTACTCGAGTCTAATTACTCAGATAAATCTTTCCATTGTTTCTGAGTGTGTTCCTAGTGCCCTAGTTTTGTTCCTCTCACAGTGATAAGGTAAAAGTACTGTCAATCTGAAGAATTATTTTCTCCTCTCCTCTCCCATTCTTGTGGTGGCTGTGTGTGCTTGGAGTGGTTAATTTAACATTTCCTTTCTTGTCAGATAGCAGATTTTATTGAGGTTTCTCATCCAGATGTTACTACAGCAGCTTTAAAAGAGGAACATGGAGGAGAGAAGAAGAAAAAGGTTCATCAGACCCCAGCAGCAGAGCACAAAGCTCTCCAGAACTGGCAGCGTAATATGACAATCAGGAAAAAGCAGGAGAAATACCTAGGAGGTGAGAAAATCTGAGGCTTTGTTCTGCAAAATTCTGTGTGTAGATGGGGGAGTTTGGCACCACAACAAACTGTAATGGTCATAGCTGACTGGGGTTAATCCTGTTGCTGTTGCAGTCTACTTCCATGTTCTCAGAGCTCCCCACACTGCTAGTGCTAGCGGTCCTGGATGTGTGGGGAGGTGAGCTGGGAGTTCTGGCTGGGGGAAGGACAGTGGATTTGGTGAGGGACAGTGTAAGGGGGTTACATGTGAACAATAGCAGGGGCAAAGGGTGCACTCGGTAAAAGTGCAGCACTAATGATTTGACATTTATTCTTTATAGAAATTCTTCAGAGGCCAGAGAATGAATTGCTGATGAGCATCTCGGAGGATTACAGGCAAATCCAGGAAGAACGTGACCTCATCGACAGGAGTCTCCCTGCCCTGCTTCCTGGAAAGGTGAGCGCCCTACTCCCCTACTTCCTCTGCATCCTGATTGCTCTGTTCTTGTGAAAGAGCTAAGACACTGATGTTATGAGTAACCTCTCTGAAGACCTGTCATTAGATATTTATCAAAGCTACTCTTAAGTCCTTCAGCCTAGTGTGCAAGCAGAGCTTTCAGTGACTTTAAAAATAAAAACATGACCTGTGCTATCCATACTAGTCAGAGGAAAGTGGTGTTGTGCTTTGACTCCTTGCTGACATGTACAAGTGCCATTTCTTGATTATCACTAAAGACTGTCATGCACTGGGAAGTGGCATGGGGATGTGCTGCAATTGCTGTTCCAGGGACAGAAAGATCTGATAGCTTCAGGCTTGAATTTTAGTGATTGCCATGGAGAAAGGGGTATGGGTAAGTCAGGAGAATTATGGGAGTATCCTATGTTAAAATAATTTTTTTACATTTGTAGCACTATCAAAGACTTTGCATGTATGTGAGGCATTATTTTAATATCATTCAACCTTCATGTAGTACTAGCTAGAAGAAAGTTGTCTTTTGTCTTTGACAGCAGCCTGATTGAAATTTTGTCTTGCTCTGCACAAAGTGGTAATTTATAGGCTTTTAAAGTATCTGTATAAACGGAGTTAGACCCCTTCTTATTTTTAGCTTCTAGTCTCTGTGAAAATAACAGGCAGCCGTACGCCTCTGAAAGTGTCAGTGGGAGCCTTGTTTTTCACCCTAGGGATACCGAAGAGGAAGTGAATTCTGGAGCCAGCCCGAGCGTATTGGAGATGAGCTCACTGGCCTGACAATGACACTGACTCAGAGAGAACGTGGCTACCCAGAGCCAGTCACTCATATAGGGAAACCCCACACTGTCCAGATGGAAACAGGTGAGGGAACACCGCAGAGCGGCGATTCCACAGAAACGGGGTACAAATGTGGAGGGAGTAGCAGAAATAAATAGTGACTCCTGTGAGTAGGGAGGCCCATGTTGTAGTCGTCGTTTCTGAAAGCCGCAGCACAAGCTACTTCTCAGTCATCTGTTGGACCTCCTCTTTAAAACATGGGGAGACCAAAGTTTGGCAGAGGATGAAATTAATGGGCATGTGGGTATGTAGATAGTGAGCTCTTGTATGCATATTTCTACAGGTCTGAAGCCTCCAAAGAGGATCCCTTTCCGTATAACCTGGGATAAGAGTCTTTTCCTGAAACGTCGACGGCAGGAGTTAAAATCTGTCCTAGAGGAGCTAGATTTTTATAAGCCGGTAAGACTAGAGGAGCAAGTATATTCTTTACATCTCTCATCAGATGCTGTAGAGTAATATAAAATTGCCAAGAACTGGATGTGAAAAGCATTATGAATCTAAAATTTAGCCGCACAGTACTTATCCTGGAAGTTCCCACATTTCCAAAGGGCCACACCCATGAAAGAATTGCTTAACTTCCCTATGTGTTGCATGGAGTGGTCTAGGAGCCTCAGAATTAGACCCCAGACCAGCAGCGTGCAGCTGCCAAGGCCTAGGCAATAAAAAGCCCTGCCAAATACTGGTGTAGGACTTTGATTTAGTGCTTCAGGGCAGAGGGAAGACACCTTTACCCATGTGACAGACATATGTCTGAAATAATCTCGTGAAGGCAGGCAGCTCCTCCTCATAAAAACTGAACAAACCTTACCATTTTCTTTCTGAAACCTGGCTCTAAGATGAGAAATGTGTGTGAAGGAGACTTTTCCTATCCATGCATCATTTGCGGTGGGGAATGCAGCCATCTGGGATTTTTGGGAGACCCAGAATCAGTTTCTTCCTCTCTCTTCTAAACATTGGCTACATCTAGAAACCATTGTAGGAGCAAGATATCTGAACTTCACTTTACTGGATTCAGTTGTTGTGTTTGTCTACTATTTTAACTTCCTTTCTGTATAAAAAGAAAAATTGCGAGTTGGTCATTTTTCTGTTTGTCCAGGATCTGGATGGACTGGAGGTGGTCGGTAAAGGACGGCCTTTCACATCTGTCTCAACAGAGCCTCTTCCACGTTCCACCACTTCTGAAGAGTCTGAGACCCTGTAAGTTTTACTTCATGGCAGAAATAAAGAATTTTGGGTATGTACCATCAGTCTGTAAGGGTATCCTTAACTGTCCTTATCCAGAATGCAGAGCAGTCTCCACTGGGTCACAATAAAAGGCATATTCTAATATGAAAGTCACCAGATTTAGGAATAAAGAAGTTCCCTTGTCCCTTGAGGCCTTGTGCCTAAGCAGCAAAAATCAGAGAAAAGTGTTTTTTTTCTGAGGCCCTTCCTGCAGTCTTCCCTTTATGTGGCTGCAGAGCTTACATTAGGCAGGGTGGGGATTCTGCTCTAAATTACCTCCATCTGGTTGTCTTTTTCCAGCCCTTAATTTCCATCATCAGTTTGCTTTTTTTCCCCATCCTGTCCATCTGTAATGGGCACAACCCGATGGCCTCTTCTTATTCAGTCATGTGCGCTCAGTATTCCTTAGGCAGTTATCATTCTTTAATATTCTGGCTGTCCTGTCCTCTTTGATGGTGACAGGTAGCTTGCTGGAGTTTACCACATCTTCAGAGCTCTATCCCTAAAGAGATGACTACGTGGAATCGCATTACGTGGGATTATTTCTTACAGGGTCTTGTCCTTTACCCCTGGTTCTCCCCTCTCTGAAAGTGAATTTCACTCCACAAAAACACTGGATCTTGTTTTCTTTAGCAGTGCCTCCTTAAGGGACTCCCCCGATGTGGTTCCAGAAGCAGTACAGGGTCCATCTTTAGATTTCTGTGGCCAGCCTGCTCGTTGGGTCAACTGCACCACGTCTTGCAGGGTAATTGTGCGCTTTTTATTGTTTAGTCAAGCTAAGCCTGCTTGAGATCCCAAGTCACAGTTGCACAATAAGTGTCGCTGCCAGGCCAGAGAATGGGGGATTTATTCTAAGCACAATAGAGTATCACTACGTTTGCTCCAGAGAGATCTAGAAACAGAAGGGGTTGCTCTCTCCGCGGTGCGAGGCTTAGATTCCCAGGCTCTCGCTGTATAATGGCCGCTTCACTGGACCTGCCTTACAAGTTTTCTTACCAAGGCTCAACTTCTTATTTGTGATATGACTTCAGGCAAGATAAATCCTGCCAGATAGAGTAGGAATTATTATCTTTGTCTTTTTCCTCTTCTTGTAGGATGAAATTGGCATTGCTGCCCGGCTCACCTTTGAGACTTTGACTGGTGAGAAAGCTGAAAGCTCCCTCACGGTGAGCAACAATGGCACAGCTGCCATCTGGTATAACTGGATGAGGCTTCCCCAGCAGATTCCCTCCAGAGAAACGAAGGGGAAGAAGAAGCAGTGCTTTTACTTTGATACCAGACCAGGTATGAGAGCTGCTGATCTCAGGCCTTTGTACGGAGACCAGAGAGCACGTATTCAGGAGTTATCTGAGATGTGGAATCTGACTAATGGGAGAGCAAGTCTGCTGGGTGATTCTTCTTAGGAAGCCACCCTGGGCATCAGAGCTGACTCACACCAAAAGATGTGTGCGAGGCAGATCCCTTTCATGGGACTTAAAGGATAGGAGGTAGCTCCTATTCTGAATGTAAATGGGTGAAATATTGAGGAATGGATGATTTTCTGATCACAAACTGGGCATAATCTGCTGGAGGGACTACTGAGCTTGCTGTAAAAGGAGTGTGCAGTGGAAATATAACACCAGTTCAGTAACATGGTAACTGGGAGTAAATCTGGAGGGAGAAAAATAGCTGGATGAAGTGTGGTAACCAGCTAATCTATAGGAAAAGAGACTTGCACAGAGATAAGGACACTTGGGTTAGGGTTGGAGAAGGGTCAAATTAACCAGGTGGCTTCTTGCAGATCGATGCATTTTCTCTCTTATTTCAGGTGTAATTTTGCCTGGAGAAACTAGGAAGTTTTTCTTTCTTTTCAAGTCAGAGAGAGCAGGCATTTTCAGCGAGTCCTGGGAATTTAGGACACATCCTCTGTTATTAGGAGGAGCTCTGCTGCAGGTGACCCTTTGGGGAATTGCTGTGTATGAGGATAAATTGGCTGACCTCAGAGAGAAACTGGAGGTAACCAAGCAAGTAACTGGGTAACTGTGAGCTTTGAACTTAATATGCAAATAAAGGATAAGGGTGGGAGTGGATGACATGGTATTTTTATTGCTATGCAATTAGGGCTGAAAGTGAGATGATTATTTACAGAACGTCTGTACATACTTGAGCAGGTTTGCTAAATAAAATGGAAGAACTCAGCAGTCTATTGTAATGTTGTTAATAAAGACATGATTGTGTCTCCTAAACTGTGCACGCTGGTCCTTTAAAGAATGAATTTTCTGTTGGTAATGAATTTCATTAGTTTACATAGTGGGGATGGGATTGTGTGTCATACACTGTGGTATCAGATAAGGTATAAATTGAAAATTACAGTACACCGAAAAGCCTAGTATGGGAGGGATTTGGGGGCTTTGTTTGAAAAGCTGTTGTAAGTATTGCTCTACTTAGCAGAGTTTGCAGCTATTCTTGTCCTTGAAACTCTGTATAACATGTACATGTGGTTGCTAGCGTGGGTGTGAATTTGTTTGTTTGTCTGTATATGGAACGGGGACTCACACGTGTTGTTCTTGTTATGGTGCCTCAGAGTGACCTGGCTGCTCGAGAAGCTGCTGCGATAGTAGCAGAGAGTCTGAAGGAACTTCTTGTCAGAATTCGGACCCCAGAGCGCACCCCATCTCCTGTGGATGCTTATGTCACAGAGGAAGAGTTGTTCCACCAGAAGAACCCTGAGGTGATGTTTGCTATTTGATGTGCTACCCAACTGAAAGAGCAGGAAGGGAAGACCCATAGGGCTGGTGTGGCCCTGGGTTTCTGGAAGCTGGCATAGTCTGTCATGGTGGCTTTAACAATCAGGTTTGTAAAGGAAAGGCATAGCTCATTTCACTGTTTACCTTTTCCACATTATCACAGTTGCATTATCAGCATCGAGTGGTAAAGCAGCTGCATGAACTGTGGAGACAGCATGTGACTGTTCCTTCAGCCTTTGAGGAGAAAGTGCCCTCAGGCCAGAAGAGCACTGCTGAGGACGTGCAGTACCAGGAGAGTACCTCAGAGGCTCTTCCCTCTCGGAGCAGCACCACAGAGGTCCCAGGTTGGAAGAACACTCTCGAGGAGGCTCTGAGTCAAATGACAAATGTGGTGGAAGAAGAAACAGGCCCCTCAGGATGGAACCTCTCCTTTGAGGACTTTAAGCAGGTGGCCACCCCTATGACAAGCTGCTGGTGTTTTCGTTTTCCCTACAGATATCCTGGCCTACCCCAGTGTGAGCCTGTCCCAAGGTCTGCTTCCAATGGGCTGGGAGTTAGAGATGGTTTATGATGTGTGTTGCAGAAAAGCGCTTCAGCTCTGCTGAACACACCCTCAGGGCTCTTGTAAAGATTCCCAAGAGAGGAGCCCCTCTTTTGAGGGCTGTTGTGTGAAGAAGAAAAGAGAACCACACAATGTAATAGATATTTTAAGCTCTTCCCCCCCATTAGCTTTCTGTCATTCCAGGACTGAATACAGGGGGCAAGCTAATCCTACAGTGTCCTGTGGCTTCCCCAAGGGCTCCTCTCCTTGGAGAGCCCTTTCTGTTAGTCAGAGCACTAAGGGGGCACTCATGACAGGCTGTGGATAAAGTACAGACCTCCCTAGATTAAAGCAAGAGAGGTTTGGATTCTGTCAGCACAGTTTTTCTGTAGTGCTCTCTTGGAAACTTCTCTGCTGCTTTTATAACTAATCTTTACTTCGAGGCTGCCCAGCTCACTCAAGCCGCTGTTCTCCAGCACACCTGTGAAGTTGCAGAGGGGCTCACTGCAAACCTAACTCCGGGGTCTGGGATTGCTCCCCAGATCCTGGGTCGCGTGCGCACCTTGGGCAAATCCCAGCCGTATAGGAGGCCACACCTGGGTGCGTAAGTGCCCAGTGTAACCTGGTTTCAAACTGGTGTCCCATGAGAGAGCTGTGGTGTGCTCCGTTGAGCTCAGAGCCCAGGTGACTGGGAACGAAGGCTGACGTGTGGTCTACAAAACTCTTTGTTTTCTCTCACATCAGGCTATACAGTCGATCCCCCAGGAGGAGCAGCGAGAAGCAGCACTGGCTCAGCTCAATGAGGCAGCACTGGAGCTGTGTGTTGGACAGAGGCCAACTCAGTCAGACCTTTTGTATCAAACCTGGTGCGTTACCTTTGCAAGATAAAGCTTGTAAATGCATCATGTGATCAACAGCCTTAGCAAGCTCTGTTGCAAGTGTTGTGATTCAGAGTGCAGATAATTAGGAGGTCTAGAAGTCATCTTTACGCTGTGGGTTTTTTTTTTTTTTTAATAGGTTAATTGTAGCAGCTGTCTAGGACTAAAATGCCTTTTTTTTCTATTTTCTGGAGATAAGTTTAGAATATTAAATTCATGCAATTTTGGGGAGTATACAAGTTTATTTCTGGCAAGATTATTCTAATCTATATTTATAAAACTTTTGGGTAATTTTCTGTACCCTTTTACTCAGATAACTGTATCTTCCCTCATACAATCTCTCTGTTCTGCTCAGGCTTTCAGACTGTAAACATATCAACAGCTTCTAGTTGCTTCTAAATCAGAAGGATTCAGGTTCCTCTCGGTAAACGCAGAGAACAGGTCAATGCTGATTTACCAACGTGTGTCATATTGGAAAGCAGGAGATCTAGTTTCACAGTAATATTTATGGGTCTATATGAGCCCATTGTTTTGCAAACTGTTGAGACCTCAGAGAGTTCTGACATGAGGAAAGTAATTTAGCTTCCCTCTGCACTGATTTTTAGCTGGTGGGTGCTATTTTATTGGCTTGGTTGGAGAGAGCAGCTCTCAGCTGTTAAGGTGCCTTCGCTCTTGGGCACAGGGTAAAACAAGACGGCAGTTGCTGTACTGTCTTCCTTCTAACTCTGATACTTTTCTCAGTCTCCAGCTGTGGCGTGAAACAATTGATGGTCTGGTGAGTCACTCTCGGAAGCTGAGATCCCTGCTTGGCTTGCCTGTGAAGGACACCTATGCAGATGTTGTTCCAGAGGAAACAGGTAAATGGTAGTTTTAGCACAGCAACCGGTTTCTGTGGACTGTTGGAAATCCAGAAAATGTCCTGAATTTCAACTGAAATGGAAATTTCAGCAGTTTCCCCTCCAAGTTTTTATAAGAAAATGCATCAGAAAAAATGGCAGATTGTGTGATAGTAATTGTGATCTGTAGTTTGGTGTCATTAAAAAAACACCACACAAACAAGCCTTTAATTTAGCTAGATGTAGCCATGGTTTTCACACAGACTCACTCAGAAAACCCTATCTTACTACTAGCTGTCTTACAGGCTTGTTCTGATACCTGTTCTGAGACCTGTTTATTCCATATTTAAACAAAGTACTCTTCAAGGTTTTGTTTTTCAGTGCAGTAGAGCTCAGATTAATAGAAGAAGAAAAATACATTGCAGAAGTGCTTCCACTGCATGAATGCAGTGGACTTGTCTTTCTGGATGTGAAAATGTTGCTTTTGGGTAATTTAAATTCTTTCTTTTGTAGTGGAAGTAAAGCAACCTATAAAAGGAGAAAAGGAAGACAGAATAACCACTAGGAAAGAAGAGAGAAGGTCATTTGTTGGTAAGGATAAAGAAGGCAAAAAAAGAACAACAAAGACAACAGGGAAAGAGAAAGAGGTATGTGTTGGGATGTCTGTTGAAACCTAAGTGCTGGGGACAGTGTGATCCATTCTGAGGTTGCGTATCCTGACTGTGAGCTGATTTCCAACCCAGTGAAAGAGGTGCTGCTTCTGGGAGGTGCATCTTGCAACAACCTGAAAGGTATTCTGACCTATGTCACCTCTTTTTTCTTTTTTTTTTTTTCTCTCCTTTTTTTTTTTTTTTTTTTTTGGCTGTCCCTGAATAGCAAAGTCCAAGCAGCAGAAAGTTAAAAGATGAGAAAAAGCTGAAATCTTCCACTTCATCACAGGAGGTGAAAGAGGGAGCACAGCCCATGGAAGCTGTAACTACAGATAGAGTGGAACCTCCTCAGGAGCAGGTGGACCCTATTTTGTTTGGGACATACCAGGAAAAACTTTATATTGAAGTGAGTCTGACCAATGCTTGTATCTTCGTTTCTTGTCTTTGCTCTTTGCTTGTAAGCTTACATTGAAGCTTAGGTGGAGAGGTAAGCATTTTGTTAAACTCAGAAAACTGACAAACATATATCTGTAATTCTTTAGCAAGGTAAGTGTGAAATATGAATTAAGATGTCCTTTATTCCAGCTTGGAATCTGTTAACATAAATCCAGCCATCACATAGCCACATGCGGGATTTCTATCTGGGATGTCTTCAGCATGCTTGCGGACTCTTGAGGGATCAGCAGAATTAATTGTATCTCAGATAATGTTAAACACACTTCATAGCCAGAAAAGTTATTACTGGAGCTAAGTGCTGTTAGCAGGAAGCCTCTTTTATGTGGTTGTGTGCGTGCCCGTATGTTAATGTGCGTGAGAAGCCATGTCTCTCTCAGTCTCATCATCAGGACTTCTTTTTGTGTTTTCACTGCAACTATCTTCTCTTAATTTCTGCTGCAGGTTTACGGGCTGCTGGATTCAATGGTGAGCAAAATCGTTTCTTTATTTGAGGAACTAAAGAAAAAAGGTGCTCTAAAGTGAGAGAGTAGAGCCTTTTGTAACTAGAAATAGACTTACTTTTAAAAAATAAATAAATAACCATATTTACACAGATCAAGTCGAGATTCTTCTTTCTGAAGTGATGAACTGATGACAAATACTGGGCTGCCTCTTTTCTGACATGCTGTGATGCGAGACTTGCTAGATCATCTGTTACTGCTACAGATGATCGCTTGCCAAGAAGAGACAAGGCAAGAAATATCACAGCCTCAGAAACAGTTGAGTAGAAAATACTGGCATTTCTGCTAGGGAGGAAGAATTTAAAAGCACCAGTCAACATGTGAAATGTCGGATTCTTTGAGTCTCGATCTTGCCTGGCTAGCAGGTGAGTGAGCAGAGAGTGTCCCTTGTACTCATGAGCCCAAGTACCAGGACAATAACTTAGAAAAAAGTCATCCCATTTTTGATGATCTTCTTTACTGTTTGTCCAGTCTCCTCTTGGGACTTGGTGACAGCTTCTCTGAGGCATTCTGGATCCCAGTGAAAACTCACTATCCCAAGAGGTGTGCCACCCTGCCTGGTTTTGAACACATGAGCTTGCTTCTTGTGCTGATCTTGCCATCTCTTTCCATCCAGCTCAGTGTACCCATGCCCCATTCTGAGCCAACTCTTACTTGCTTCCTTCCAAGACTAATCACTCTTGAATTAAAAATGAGTGAAATTCATGTCATAAATATTGTGAGCATGGTTAGGCCTTGTGTTGGAGCCACCCAGCCTGTCTCCATCAGCCTGTGTGTGCGTCTGGGCTTATCACCGCTTTCTGACTGGGTTTGCTTGTCCATCACAGCTGGAACAGAGCTTTTTGTGGAAGCAGCCCAGGGCCGAGTGTGGCACACTCTGCAGCTGGGCTTGGGTCGGAGCAGGGTTCCAAGGCAGAGCGAGCTGGGTGCAGGGTCCCTCAACCCGGCACATGTCAGCAAAGTGCTTCCTGCTAAAGCAGCTGGACAGCATTCCCCAGAAAGGCTTTGGCCCTATAAAGAAATGACATCAGTGTAGATTATTATTTGAGGTTTGTGATACCTCTGGGGTTCTTAGGCAGCAGATGCATATCCGCGCTGAGCGTTGCTGTTACAAATTCTGTACATGGCTGTGCAGTTGCACCCGGCGTGTGTGCCTCAGGCATGTGCTCTTTTACATTGGCAGCCACACTGACACGCGTCTCGGAGCTGCACGTAGTGTAAAATAACTGTTTCTTTTGCAGAATTGTTTTCTTTTGCTTTCTCATTTTAACTCAAGTGCTGTCTCAGAGGAGAGGATATATTCTTCCCCTGGGCTCCTCACAGTACCATGGCAAAGCACAGCTTATTTTTTTTGCTGACCAGGTGAGGCCCTTCGTGTTTCAAGATGCTTTCTCTTAGTGGGGTGTGGGGAAGCACTTTGCCTTCTGTGGAAGCCAGGAGCCTTTTCTGGCTTAGTGGGCACGAACCCACAAAGGGAATGTCTCTGCTCAGCATTCCTGTAGTGAGAATTTCAGCAACATTTTGAGAATTAGAAGGAAAAAGGCCTGAAGTTGGGGTGTGTCTCACAGGCTCTGACAATAGCTCCTGCCTCCCTGGAGATGATTATCAGCTTGTGAATATGCCCAACTCAAACAGCTCAAACCATCTGTTTCTAGACAAGAGGGAGTCTGCACATTATAGAAGGAACATGATTGTCTCAAAGGCAAGAATACTTGTATTTGGTAGCTTTACCTTAAAAGATGGCAAAGCTCATTCACAAGATACATGCCTCCAGTCCAGCCTAGAGAAACCAGGATCTATATAGCTCTCTATATATCTCAGTATACCTCTACTCACAGGAAAACTTGCTAATACGAAAATAGATAGAGGGGAGTTTCATGTTAGTCACACACCATGGAAGAATGTCGCACACTGGTCTCCCCTTCCACAGGAGGAGCTTGGTGGCCAAGGGCAGGTGGGTGATACAAGAACTCCTGCAAAGGAGAACAAACTTGAATGCTGTGAACAGTCTGATTTTTTTTTTTTTTTTTTTTTTTTTTTGGTCATAAATATTGCCAGTGCCTCTTACAGCCTTGGACAAGAATGTCCTGAAGGGACAAGGTACAAGCAGCACAGAGGAAGGGATGTGCTGGGCCAACAAGTGCAATACTCTGCTGTCTGGCTGCTGCAGCTTTCTCTGAGCCAGCTGCTTTTTTTTTTTTTTTTTTTTTTTTTTTTTCTCTTTTGCATTGATTTGTGGAAGTTACGTGACTGGAACTGCAGTGGAATTAGAGCTGGCTTGCACAGAACACCTTTAGAGAGACGTACGCCTCATTTACGGGCCCGCGCTCTGAAGGGCACAGGGATGCTCCAGGCCCTGTAAGGCCAAGTCCCATCAGCCGGGCAAGGAGAGTTTTCTTTCTCCTCCCCCAGACGTGGGCATTATTTGTATTAGTGTTAATAATTTGTGTTGTGTTTGCTAAATAACTGAGGTGAGCGACCTTCCTGGCCTTGGGAGTTGCATACCAAACCCATCACGTGAGATGGGGTCTGAAGACACCATAACTGTTAGAGAGGCCGGGAAGGGGGATTCCAGGGAACTGCTGCAAGCAGAAGGTGACAGCACGTTTCCAGAGGCTTCTCAAGGGCTGAGGGAAATCAGCTTTAGAGCCTTTCTGGGTCCCACTTCCTACAGCGGGGTTGTGGGCCACTTAGCAAAGCAAAACCCCATGTTTGTACAGCTTTGCTGTGTAAGTAGGGTGTTGTCCCCAGGGAGAGGTTCACTTCGCTTATAAAAAATCAATGCCTGAAGAGGGGCAAGCTGGCTGCCTCGGCTGTCTGACACAGGTGACCGGGAGCACTGGGGACAGAGGAAGAGGAAGGCAACCACAAAGAATGCCTCCCAAGGCCTGGGGTGGAATGTTCTCCAGGTTGACCCAGAGGATGGTTTGGATGCTGGAGGTGTTCTTCTCCCAGGCTGCAGCTGGGAGTGGGACTACGTGCATGGCCAGAGCCTGAGGAGACCTGCAAAGCCCCTGGAGGCACGTGGCCTCCCCCGCTGCCTTCTCCCTGCCACCCAAGGCCGAACCTTCAGGGTCTGGGGCAAGATGAATCTCAGCTTTGCACAGTGGGAGCAGCAGCAGGAAGGCCCAGTCCCCCTCCAGCATGTCTCATTGCACAGAAGCTGCTTTCCATTATGGAAAATGTCAGTGATATTAAAAAGATTATATATATCCATAATACTTGAAGGCCTGTCAGTGATTAAAATGGAAGGCAGAGGCCGGGAGAGAGGGGGTGGCACTGAAACAATCGAGAGACATGACTTATTTTGTCATGTCATCTGATGCCTCCCTCTCTGCCCTGGCCAGGCTCTGGGAGCTGTTCAGAGCAGGGGAAGAATCCACTCCAAATTTAGATCCTGGCAAGAAATATAAATAAATTAACAAACCCAAATTGCAGCCATGGCCTTGGGTACCAGAGAGAGAGGTTGAAGTGGGGAGGGTCGGCATCCCTCAGAGCTGCTTCTGAGCCCGGGGACGTTGATTTCTGTCTAAAAATAAGGGGGGGGGGGGAGGGAAATTTTTTTTAAAAAAAAGCCAAAGCAAGCAGCAGCAAGCAGGGCCTGGCTGGCTGCCAGCGAGGGGCAGTGACTGAGCATTTACAGCATCCCCGCCTCCCGCATGCGGCGGGGCAGGGGCTCGGCGCCGCATCCCCCGCGGCCGGTACCGCACCGCGCTGCACCGCACCGGGGGGGAGGGAACGGAGCTGGGGGGGGGGGGGGCGGCGGGATGTGAGCTGAGCGCTTCTGCCGGTGTCCGGGCGGGAGCCGGGGCCGGTGCCCGGGCGGCCCCGAAGGGGTTAAGCCGGGACCTGCCGCCGGGACCTGCCCAGCCAGCCCGGCAACTCGGCGGCGCGCAGCAGGCAGCGGGCGGGCTGCGGCCGCCTCCAGCCCGCTCCCACCGGCACCGGCCCCGGCCCCGGCCCCGGCCCCGGCACCGGCACCCCCACCCGCACCGCGCAGGTAAGCGGGGCTGCGCGCCCCTCGGCAGCCGGGCTGCGTAGGGGAGGAGGAGGAGGAGGAGGAGAGGGAAGAAGTGGGGGGGGTGGGGGGGGTGGAAGGGGGGGGTAGGGAGGAGGAGGAAGGTTCTGGACGCCGGAGCATCGCGGGTTGCGGCGGGCCGGGGGATGCCGGTTCCCGGCGGGCAGCTCCGGGGCGCGGCGCTGCCCGGGCCGGGCTGGGGGCCCCGCGGCGGGGGCAGCCCCCGGGCGGGCTGCGGGAACCGGCGGCGCGGCCGAGGGCTCTGCCGGGAGCCTTGCCCGGCCGCTCCCTCCGTGTCGGGCGCTGCTGGTGCCAGCCCTGCACCTGATTAGGGATGGAGAGGAGCTTTAATCCGCAACCCCCTCCCGCTCCCCCCCCATCCGGCCCTTCTGCCCTCTCCTCCTTCCCCCCCACCCCTTCCTGCTCCCCCTCCATGTTATTCCTCCTCGCTGCCCCCGCTTCGCCTCCTCAGTCCCCTGCGCTGGGCCGCGGGACGGTGGGGACCTGTCCCCGCACCCGCGTGTCCTTCTCCCACCTGGCAGCCTCTTGCTCAAGGTCACTGCAGTAATTCCATATGAGCTGCCGGGTGCTGCCGCCTTATCTCCCGCACAGCTTCTGTTTCACTCCCTTTATATTCCGGGGGGGTGGTGGTGGTGGGGGATAACGTGTTCGATAAACCCTGCTGCCTTTAAGACCGCTGGCAGGGCTCCAGCCGGGGCCACGCTCCCCTCACCCCCTCCCCAGCCCCTGCTTCCCATCTCTTCCCATGCAGACTTCCCGGGCCATCTCGTGGCAGGTGAAGTCCAACTGGGATCGGGTCTCTGGCCGGGACGAGCGGTGCTGGAGCCCGTCACGCTGGACCTGGGGTTTGTCCTGCCAGGAGACCTGTTGGAGGCAAGGAGGGGCCGTCCTGCCCCGGAGGAGGAGTGCCGGTGTTTGCTGGTGTTTGCCAGGCTGGTGGCACCTTTGGAAAACGTGACTTTATCTCCCGCTTGGGTGTTGGTGGAAAGCAGAGCGCAGAGCCAAGTCCCGGAGGACTTTGCTGCGTCGCTGCCCTTGTCCCGAAGGTGTTTCCGCACCAGGCGGGCAGCGGCGTGGCCGTCCGCACCGCGGGCTCTCCCGACGGGATCCAAAGGCCGCGTCGGCGGGCTGCATTGCGAAAGGGAATCGATACGGGGAAGCGTCTGGAGAGAAACTTCGGCCGCCCGAGAGCGTGGCGGTGCCAGGCTCCTCTCTGACTCACGGGGGACATTGCCGACGGAGCCGTGGGGCGCCCAGCTGCTGGCCCGCGGGAGCAGGAGGTGCTGGACCGGTCGCACGGGTTGTGTGGGAGCGTGGTGGGTGCTGTGTGTGGCTCGTGGGCATGTCGGCATGGCCCCGGCCCGGCTCCGGTGGGAGGGAGCGGTGTCCCGAGCCGGGACAGGGCTGGAGATGGTGCGATGGCTGCGGTCCGGGGAGGTACTGGCATCCGAGGTGGGTGGTAGGATGGTAATCACTGTCCGCAGGCGCTGCTGTGCCATGGAGATACTCCTCTGCCTGCGAGTGTTATCTCAGATGGGGAAAAAATTGCCAGTGAGTCTTGTTGCAGCCGCAGTGAGAGCTCTGGGAGCAGCCTGGCTCCCAGGCCCTGCGGTGCAGCCCTGCTGAGGGCAAGGCAGCTCCAGGCAGCCTCTGCCTCCTGGCTTTGCTTGGCCCTCTGACAAAACGAGGGTAAATGGTGTCTTCCCACCGTGCAGGGAGAAGGTGAGGATTAGGACTAGCACAGGGTAGGGGACAGAATTGTGATGGGCTCATACGAAGATGAGTTCACACTGACCCATGTCATTCTACATCCGTGTCGGGTGCAGCACGTCCCAAGCACGGGCCCTGCTCACCAGGCTGGTGCCAGGGCAGCTCCGGCCGCGCCGGCCCCTGCGGCCCCGGGCACAGAGAAGGCTCAGGCAGCTTGGGGTTTTTTGGGAGGGGGGGGGTTGAGTTACCCATCCTGCTCGCTGACCTTGCACTGAAGGTTAGCACCCCGAATTCGCCACGCCACGGCAGCTTCTGAACCTGCAGCCTCTTGCAGGAGCAAAATTACCGAGTTTGCTGGGAAAACCTACCCGAGCGGCTGCCAGTGCTGGTAAGTCGTGGCAGGCTCTGACTCACGGCAGGTTTTTGTTTTTGTGCGACTCATCCTCAGTGGCTCTGAGAGCCTTGGGGAGATGAGCAGGGCTGCGTGCACCTGCAGGTAGTGCGTCTGGGGGGTACAGGGGAGGCCCTGCCTGGCATGAGGGCTGGGGGGCCTCAAAGCAGCTTTGCTGGGACAGTTGGGGCTGAGGCAGCCAGGATCTGGAGGAGGGAGCTGCCATTTTCAGGTGGTTACTTTTAGAAGCAGAAGTGCAGGGTAAAATCTCCTCCAAATGTTGCTGAATCTGGAGCCAAATCTCTTGGCAGCTCTGCAGTGCTGGGTATCGGCTTGCTATGAGACTTTTTTCCCCCTGAGCATCCTTCGTGTCCTCGGGTTAGCGAGCGGTGGCAGCCCGGCAGGGTGCACCTGATGCCCCAACGGTGGGCGCTTCTACCTTGAGAAGTGTCCCAGGTGCCAGACGAGGGCTCTGGGGCCGGGTCGCGGTGGCTGGGGCGACGCTGACATTTCTGTGTCCTTGTTCCCCTCTGCAGGCGCCGGTGAGGCTGCGCCCGCGAGCGCTCATCCCTTCTCCACCGTCCCTGCCCGCCGCCGGCGGGTCTCCGGCACCGCGCAGCCATGACAACCTCGGCGTTGCGCCGGCAGGTGAAAAACATCGTGCACAACTACTCGGAGGCGGAGATCAAGGTGCGGGAGGCCACCTCCAACGATCCCTGGGGACCCCCCAGCTCCCTGATGTCAGAGATAGCCGACCTCACCTTCAACACGGTGGCTTTCGCTGAGGTCATGGGCATGATTTGGCGGCGGCTGAACGACAGTGGCAAGAACTGGCGTCACGTCTACAAAGCCCTCACCCTCCTGGACTACCTCATCAAAACCGGCTCCGAGAAGGTGACCCACCAGTGCCGGGAGAACCTCTACACCATCCAGACGCTGAAGGACTTCCAGTACGTGGACCGCGACGGCAAGGACCAGGGCATCAACATCCGGGAGAAGGTGAAGCAGGTGATGGCGCTGCTGAAGGACGAGGAGCGACTGAAGCAGGAGCGGGCGCACGCCTTGCAGACCAAGGAGCGCATGGCCCTCGAGGGCATGGGCAGCGGTAGCCACCAGGTCGCCTACGGTCGCCGCGCATCGCCCTACGGTGACGACTACGGCCGGGCGCGGGGCTCGCCCTCCTCCTTTAACTGTGAGTGTGGCTGGCGGCTCGCTTGGGCTCACCCGGGCTCGCTGCGGGTGGAGGCAGGCGTTTGCATTTTAGCTTGACCTGCCTGGTGCCCATCGCTCCCCTCTACCATTGCGGGGGGTGGTGGTGAAGCCCGTCTCTGTCCTGCATCCCTGGGCCAGTGGTGGACCCCAACAACGGTGGCAGCTGGCGGTGCCTTGAACCTTAAACCCACAGCTTGTTTGTGGTAGAGAGATCTAAGATAGGGCTATGTCCCCTGGGGAAGCCACACTGTGGATGGGGCCCTGGATGAGGCTGCTGCTCCCCAAAATACCCCAGTCCTGATTCCTCTCCTTCCCCTTTTCCTCCCAGCATCATCCTCGTCCCCACGGTTTGCCTCTGACCTAGAGCAAGCGAGGCCCCAGACGACGGGCGAGGAGGAGCTGCAGCTGCAGCTTGCGCTGGCCATGAGTCGGGAGGAGGCGGAGAAGGTAGGGTGGCTCTGCCCGCCCCGGGCCATGCGAAGCCGGGCATCTCCCTGCACCGTGCCTTGCCTGCGGGCACGGTGGGTCGTTATTCTGAGAGGAGGGAGGATTTTGGGGGCTGCTTCAGGCCGGTGCGTGCACCTGCAACTGCACCAGGCTGCTCGTGTTGTGCCTGGCATCCAAAATAGCCAGCAGACAGATCCCGGCCCACATCCCTGCTCCCCATCCTCGTACCGGCAGGAACAACAGCAGGCTGAGACCCCTCCAGCCTCCCAAACCTCAGAGGAAACTTGTAGGGGTCTTCTGGATTCATCGTGACACACCCCCCTGCCTCCCCAAACCTGGCTGCCCACTTTCATTCACTGAGGGCTTTTGGTCTAAGCTCCCCCATTTCTCTTGCCTTCCCGTGGAGGTTTTAGGATGCTTTGCCCAGCACTGTGGTTTATGTCATGGGGAGGGCGGGCCAGCAGCATCCCAGGGGCTGTGCACTGGGCTGGGGGCTCAGTGGGGCTGGGTGCTCCCTCCCACCGGCTGGTCCTGTCAAACTGGGCTAGAAGGAGCACTGGAAAACAGCACCAGGAGGAGCTGAGCAGGGATGCAGGCAGCAAGCGAGCTGCTGCCCCCAACTGTGAAAGCTTCCCCGGGGCTGACCCCTCTCCTATCTGCTGGCCATGGCCCCTTTTCCACCGGGGATGGCTTATTTGCACACTGCTGAGGTTGCCACCGACTGGCACGGCCCCTGCGGATACACGGGTACAGCCGGGCACACAAAGTCAGAGGGACACAGTGACCGAGGGGCTGCATGCCGGGGCTGGTGGGTGTCCCCCAGGGCTGGCACTGAGCACCGCCAGCTCGGTCCTGCTGGGTCAGGGGACATGCTTTGGAGACAGCGCTTGCCACTGCCCATCTTCCCCACCCGATGGAGGCTCTTTTGGAGACGGAGCGGAGCGTATATCCCTATTTTTGTCTTGGAATTGGAGTATTTATAGCTTCCACACACTGCTGTGATGAGCACTGTAGGAACACGCTCTTGAAAGCGTTGCCTGTTGGAGTCCATCTGGCCTGTGCACACGTGTGCATGCTTGCACACACTTTTACAGGCGCGCACACCCCCACCACCACCCTGGAGTCTCCATTCCCAGACTCAGCTGGTCTCATGCTGCTGGACAAGCGTCACAGGGCGGTGATCAGAGCTGCCACGGTGGCACGGGGACGGCCTCTCCACAAAACCTGCCTCAGGTCTGGGTGCTTTTCCTGCAGCAGAGCAGGGCCAGGCAGGATTTCTGAACTGAGGCTGGTTGGTATCGCAAATCCTCCTCCCCAGCAGGCTGACAGGGTGAGGGGATGCCTAATTGATCGCCCTTCCTCTGCCAATTCCATCCGAGTCCCAAAAAACCTGTGAGAGATGCTGGCTGCCTAATTTAGGGTCGTCCCAGCCTCAATGCAGAGGCAGGTGATGGGGCAGGGGAAGGAGCTGGGGCAGTGGCCACAGGGGAGCCTGAGCAGGAGTGGGTTTGGGAGCACAGGGGCACCGGGCTGGGGGTCCGCAGGAAAAGCCAGCTGGATGGGCACAGAGATGCTGTGCAGGCAGGCGAGGGGCCGCAGGACAGATGGTGACAAGGACGGGGACCTCCAAGCAGTCCCTTGAGCTGAGGGCAAGCTGAAATGTCACCCAATTTCCTCTGTTGGCAGAAGCCACTTCCTCCAATTTCCAGTACAGATGAAGAAAGGCAATTGCAGCTAGCGCTCGCGCTGAGCAAAGAGGAGCACGAGAAGGTACCTGTGCCCTGCAGCCCCAGGCACTCCTCTCTCCTTGCACTTGGGCTTCTTTCTGGGGTGCCGGAGCTCAAAATGCCGCCTTGCTCCAGTGCCTGCTTTGCTTTTGCTGCTCTGGGCTCTCTGCTGAGCACTCTCCCGGTGGGCTCGGCCCCAGAGGAGCTGTCTGCTCAGATGCTGGGACTTCTCGGTGATGCGGTGGCAGCTTCTGTGCTGGGTCTGTCTCCTGGAGAAGGTGCTGGCTGCAGGGTTGCTGAGCTCATGGGCCTCGTCCCTTGTCCCACAGGAGGTGAGGGCTTGGCAAGGAGAGAACTCCCTGCTGCAGAGAGCTGTGGAGGAGACTGCCCAGAGCAGGGAGGAAGAGGAGGAAGAAGATAAGATGAAGAAAAGCCAGGTACAGCACTGGGGGCCTGGATGGCCGCACAGCCAGCCTCGGGCTCTGGGGAAATCCTGCAGGTCTGCCCTGGGCTTCTCTTACCTCTTTATTGCCTTTCTGTTTGCAGTCCTCTATCCTGGAGCTGGCAGATATATTTGGGCCGGCGCCAGCCCCCCCCAGCCACACATCCACCGACCCGTGGGATATGCCAGGTGGGGACAACTCGCCGGCTGCCAAAGCTTGGGACAGCGGCAGAAACCTCTCCCTTGCTTCTATCCCTCCCCAATCCCCAGCAGCTCAAAAGTAAGACCTCTTGCTTCTCCTCCCTCCACTGCCTGGTCTGCTGCATGCGTGGGTGGTGCTGCTGGAAGCTGTGGTCCCCTGGGCACATCCCCTCAGCATCCCCCTGTGCCCTGCACTGTTCCCCCCTTCCACAGCTTCCCTTTTTCTTTCAGATATGAAACCCAAAGTGGAACCAGCAGCCTCTGCCTGGGCCGGTGCGGCTGACCCCTGGGTGCCGGTCCCGGCCACTGGCGGGGAGCCCCTCTCCCAGGCGAGTGCCTCGTCCCAGCAAACCTCCGCCGGGCCCTGGGATTTCCCCCCTGGTACCACTACAGCCTCTGACCCTTGGGGGAAGGCACCCTTGTCTTCTGGCTTCCCTCCTGCGGACCCCTGGGTGGCAGCATCCCCTCCCACCCAGGTCTCTGGTTCTACACCAGCTGCTGACCCTTGGGCTGCCGTGGCCGACCAACCTCCTAACCCTGGTAAGAGGCTCAATCGGTGTTTTGGCTTTGCTGTGGACCGTGGGCGACGTTGGCCATCGCTGCCCTCCTGCGAGTGGGCAGCCTGGGGTGCTCCCCCCACTTTTTCCCACACCCAGCTCTGCAAACACCCCCTCCGTGCTCTCCTGCCTGGCAGCAAGACCTCTACTCACCCCTCTGCAGCCTGAGGACTTTAAGAAACTTTTAGGCTTTATCTCTGCACAGAATAGGCTGCTTTAATTAACATGGCACATTTAATGGAGCCCTCATGTGGGAGCAGATAGCAGCCACCACACTGCTCCAGCAGCGGGGTGACAGCGTGTCCCCCCCAGTGATACCTGTCCATTTGCTCACCCCAAACCAGCCCTATGTGCCTTGTCGGGACGGGACTGTTGCTGCTCACAGGTGCCACGTTGCAGATGGGGAAGCGGTTGGAGGAGCAGCCTGTGTTTCAGAGCTCAACGCCACTCTCGGTTCCTCCTCGGTGCTTCCTCCAGCCCCACGGAGGTCCCGTGTTCGTTGCCCTCAGTTTTGGTCCCTGGGGAGGAGAGCAGAATCTGGCCCGGGGGCCAGTACTGGTTGTTAACGCATTCTTGCAGACCCATCCCAGAACGGAAGGGCTGTGCGGGGGCTGCCTTGGTCTGCAATGACCCCCAATGGTCTGGCTCGTCTTAGCCCCCTGCCCAGGCCAGTGCACATTCCTGACCCCCAGCCCTGTGCCCCCCCACCACACTCCCTCCTCTCTGTCTCCTTGCAGGCAGCTGCCCCTGCCTCTCTCCTGCCCGTACACCTCCTGCCTCTCCCCTCCCTGTTTGCTCCCCTCCTTGAGTCTCACCTCTTCCCCCCAGCTACAGGGGGGAATGCTTTCGACCCATTTGCAAAGCCACCCGAGCCAGCCGAGCTGCCGGAGCAGGAGCCCTTGCAGCCACCCTCCTCGGCCAAGTCCAACAGCCCCGTCGGTAAGACGTGGGGGAGCGGGCAGGGGCTGATTTGGGCAGGGGGGACACGATGACCTGTCCCTGGCCGTTGCAGGGAGGCAGCTCCAGGGCTGGCCGGGCTGTGCGTGGCTGCTTGCTGGCGTGGCCAAAGCTTGTTCCCACTTGCAACCACGCGTGCCATGGGCTTGAGCTGCCCCATAGCCGAGGCCCTGTGTGCACCCATGTCCCCAGCCTCGCGGGGAGCTCGGGCACACCGTGTCACAGCCTCAGCCCCACCGCATTGAGCCGTGACCTGGGGTGAGGTGTGCTGTTAGCCGCCTCGTGCAGTAACGGGGAGGGGGGGGACACCACCACCCTCGGTGTCTCCCAGCTGGCTCACGCTGCTCATCTCCCCCCTCCCCGCCCCAGAGCTGGACCCCTTCAGCGACCTGTTCCCCAGCACCAGGCAGGACGGGGCGAAGAGCTTCGACCTCGCCAACCTGGCCGAGTCCCTGCCTGAATCTGGCAAGGAGCGGAAGGACTGTAAAACCCCTGAGGCCTTCCTCGGCCCCGCCGCCTCCTCCTTGGTCAACCTGGACTCCCTGGTCGCCCCTGCACCGGCCTCCAAGACGCGCAACCCCTTTCTCTCGGGTAGGTGCTGGTGCCACGCTGTGAGCTGGGGGCTTCCCTGGGCTGTTTGGGGGAGGAAGAGGAGGAGGAGGCGTGCCGGGGGGGTGGGGGTGGCATGGCTGCTCTGACGTGTCCCGTCCCCTCCTTCTAGGCCTGAGCACGCCATCCCCCACCAACCCCTTCAGCCTCGCCGAGCAGCCCAAGCCGACGCTCAACCAGATGCGGACCAGCTCGCCGGTGCCCGGCTTGCCCGCGGGCCTCCCCGCCAACTCCATGACCTACAGCGCGTCCCTGCCGCTGCCCCTCAGCAGCGTCCCCGCCGCCGCCGCCGCCCTCCCTGCCTCCGCCAGTGCCTTCCCGCAGGCCGGCACCTTCCCTGAACTCCCCAGCAACTTGCCGCAGCCTTTACTGCCGCTGAGCGGCCCCCCAGCCCCGCCGTCCGCTCCGGGGGGGCTCAACCCCTTTCTCTGAATCCTCTGGACGTGTAGACTCTCACCCCTTCCCCGGCTGTTACAAATCCCCCCCGGCCAAGACCTTGGCGGGGGGGACGGCGGTTTGCTAGCTCCAAGGGAGGGTGCCCCCCACACCAGCCCCCTCCCCGTGCCCGCTGGCTGGGGGGCAGCCAGCATGAGCCCCCCTGTGCTTGACAAGCAAGAGGGGACCCCCTTCCCCAGCGACGACCAGAGCCGAGAGCGGTTTAGGGGTGATGGTGGGGTCCATCCTAAGGGCTTCTTGGTTTGGGGGGGGCTCCGGTGCAGCGGGCTGGGCTGGTGCATGGGGGCTCACTGCTGGATAGGGCCCCCGGGGCAAGGGGGCTTTGCCCCGGCACCTGCAGGGAGCTGGGGCAGCGCTGGGGCCGGGGGGGGGGGGGGAGGGGGTTGTGTGTGGAACTGGGGGTCCCGTCGCCCCTCGCCGTGCTCCCCACGCCGGGGCTGGTTTGCTGCCACCCCCCCCCCCCCACCTCCTCTCCGGCCGCTCCCCACCTCTCCCGCCCGCCCCTCGCCCCCTTTCCCGCTCGTTGTCCCCCCCCCCACATCCCCACGCCGGAGCCTCCCCAGGGAGCCGCGGGCAGGGCCCCCCCGGGGGGGCAGCCGCCTCCTCGCCCGCTCGCTGGGCCCCGCTGCGGGACATGGGGGGGGGGGTGTTTGGGGGGGGGGGGTGTGATGGCGGGGGGCGCCGGTGCTTCGGCGCTGCTGGAGAGCGGCGGCTCCGGGCTGGCTGTGAGACAATAAAATGCTCTGACGGACCCGGTGTGCGGCTCCCGGGGGGGCGGAACGGGGCGGGCGGGGCAGGATGGGCGCTGGGCCCCGGGCCGGGGAGCGGCGGCAGCTCCGCCCCGCCCCGCTCCGCCCCGCCCCGCCGCCATGTTGGCGGTGCCGCTGCGCCGGGCCCGCAGGTACCGGGCGGGACCGGGCCGGGCCGGGCCGGGCCGGGCGGGGGGCGGGAGGGTGGGACCGGGCCCGGTGGGCGGGCGGCTGCGGGGCCCTGGCTGCGGCCCTGGGGGGCGGGGGGCAGCGATGGCTGCGGCACCCGGCAGCCCTTCTTTCACCGCCCCCCCCCCCCCCCCGAGTCCTCCCTGCACCTCCCACATCCCCCTAAATTCTCCTTCATCCCTGCAGTGTCCTGCACCCCTCCTGCGTCTCCCCTAACCCCCCCCCCGCACCCTCCTAAATCTTTTCTGCAGCTTTACACCCCTCCCGTATCCCCCAACATCCTGCAGTCACACTAAGTCTCCCCCTTCATCCCTATGCCCCCTGCATGACTTTACATACTCCCTGCACCCTTCTTGCCCCCCAGCCCTGCATCCTTGCCCCCCAGCCCTGCATCCCTGCGCCCCAGCCCTGCATCCTTGCCCCCCAGCCCTGCATCCCTGCCCCCCAGCCCTGCATCCCTGCGCCCCAGCCCTGCATCCCTGCCCCCCAGCCCTGCATCCCTGCGCCCCAGCCCTGCATCCCTGCCCCCCAGCCCTGCATCCCTGCCCCCCAGCCCTGCATCCCTGCCCCCCAGCCCTGCATCCCTGCGCCCCAGCCCTGCATCCCTGCCCCCAGCCCTGCATCCCTGCCCCCCAGCCCTGCATCCCACCCAGCAGCAGGAGGATCTCTCTCATCCCCCCGCCTCCGTCCCTTGCTCCCCTTGCCATGAAGAGCCTGTGCTGCCCGGCCTGCACCCTGACCCCGCACCTCCCGTGCACCCACGGGAAGGGATTTTCCTTGCTGAGGACACACGGGTCAAATCCCACAGATGCTGCCCCCCTTACCCACGGCTGTCGGGTGGCTGTGCCCCCAACGGATGCTGGTGGGAGGCTGGAGGGCAGGGAGCCCTGGGGATGGCAGTCCCCAGGCTGTGCCTGTGCTGAGCTGGAGAGGAACCTCACCTGAGCCTCCAGCAAGGGGGGAAGACTTTGTAGGGTCCTGGGGGGGGAGGCAGAGGTGGATCGATCTGCAGTAGAGCCCCCTGAGAGCAGTTCCCCTGGCACGGAGAGCGGGGAGCAGCACCCTGTCCCTGAGCCGCACTGGGCACCCACAGGAGCCGGGGTGAAGGTGGTGCTGGTCTGGGGTGTCGCGGCTCTCTCTGGGGGCTCTGCTTTGCTGTGGCGAACAAGAAAATGATGAGCCTGTTGGGTGTCACAGGTGCACGTTTCTAACGGGGAGCGTGACCATGGCCACGGGGGGGACAACCAGCCCCCCCAGTGTCCCTCGTCACACCAACCGCTTGATCAACGAGAAGTCCCCGTACCTCCTGCAGCACGCTCACAACCCTGTGGATTGGTAAGAGTGACTGGTGTGTTTCTCCCTCCTCCTCTCCTTGCATCTGTGGGGCTGAGGGACTTGCTGCCATGGAAGTGATGGCAGGCGAAGCAGCCTGGCCTCCTGTGCAGCTCCCTGTGGGCTGGGGGGTCCACGCTTCTGAGCCAGCCGTACCCCCGGCTCCCCTGCCCACTTTCCACCAGGCAGCAGCTTTTCAGGCAGCTTTGGAGGAGCTGGGGTCCCAGCAGCCGTGACTCGTGAAGCTGCTTTCTTGTCTTCCCTCCACAGGTACCCTTGGGGTCAGGAAGCCTTTGATAAAGCAAAGAAAGAAAACAAACTGATATTCCTGTCAGGTAACCAGAAAAAAGACGTATTTCATGTTCCCACATGTTGTTCAGTAGATGACCAGATAAGCCAGGCTGCATCCTGAGCTGGTGTGTGAATAGCTACGTGTGTAAGGATGGACACTGAGCACTGATTCTCTGCTAGCAAGAGGGCCATGTGCTTCAGTAGCTCTCTCTGAAGACGGGCTGCATCAAGGACCAGAGTCCTTGGCCAGATTTTAAGAGCAAGAGCTGGAGAGCCTAGGAGGCCCTGCAAGCCTCCATGTTTGCAGGAGGCCTTTCTCCTCCAGCTCTTCTCTAGGGGGACAGCAGCTGTTGTTTGTAACAGGGTTCCCCACCTCTGAGCGATCTCCCCATAATGCGTGTCCTGCTCCCCGCAAAGGGCCTTTCCTCACTTGCCTGTGCTTCTTTTCAGTTGGCTACTCCACCTGCCACTGGTGCCATGTGATGGAGGAGGAGTCCTTCAAGAACAAGGAGATCGGGGAGATATTGAACAAGAACTTTGTGTGCATCAAAGTGGATCGTGAGGAGCGGCCAGATGTGGACAGAGTGTACATGACCTTCGTGCAGGTGTGGGAGGCACAGGCAGGGCTGAGGAAGCTTTGACTGGCTCTCTCAAGATGAGGTTCATGGTCATGTTCCTCAGGCAGGAAGAGCCAGTATGTGGAGTGCTGTGAATGGGGGGCATGCATGATCACAAAGGTGGAGGGAAGCACACGTCTGTCCTCACGTGAGGCACTTGGATGTGCTGGAGGGGTACAGAGCAGAGGGTGCCTCTTGCATGACCTTGATGCACCCCTGATTTGTCTTTCAGGCAACCAGTGGTGGAGGTGGCTGGCCGATGAGCGTCTGGCTGACTCCAGACCTCAAGCCCTTTGTAGGGGGGACATACTTCCCTCCTGAAGATGGAGTTCATCGTGTTGGCTTTCGGACTGTGCTGCTCCGAATCACAGAGCAGGTACGGAGCAGGAATAGTGTAGCAGGTGGTACTCAACTGGCAGCAGGGAAATTGGTCTGGGCTTGGTGGGTGACCGAGCTAAGAGGTGCAGTCATGAGAAACAGTAGCCCAGAGAACATGTCAGAGCTTTGGCTGGGTTAGAGGTAGGTTTGAACTGATCTGAGGAGTGGGACTGAGAGCTGAAGGTGCAGTTTGGACTGGTGCAATGCAGGAAGCGGAAAGAGACAAAAAATGGAAGAACTGACTTTCTCACTCTGTGTCTTAGTGGAAGGAGAACAAAGATGCCTTGTTGGAGAACAGCCAGAAGATCCTGGAAGCATTGCTATACAGGTCTGAGATCCGTGTGCGGGGCCAGGAGTCACCCCCACCATCCAAAGAGGTCATGGCCACCTGTTTCCAGCAACTCTCCAGATCCTATGATGAGGACTACGGCGGCTTTTCTGAATCCCCCAAGTTCCCCACCCCAGGTCAGTCTGGCCTCTGCTGCCGAGCCCTGCCGTGGGGCAGGCAGTGCTGGGGGGGCAGAGCCCACCCCACAGCCTCCCACTGTTCTCCTTGTATTTCAGTGAATTTGAATTTCCTCTTCACATACTGGGCTCTGCACCGAACAACTCCAGAAGGTGCCCGGGCACTGCAGATGGCTCTACATACTCTCAAGATGATGGCCCACGGGGGCATCCATGACCACATTGGTCAGGTAGAAGGAAAGCCTTGGGGGTAAAGCCCTGGCATGCTGCGGGGATGTGGGGTGGAAATGTGTCCATTTGGTCTTTGCAGGGGTTTCACCGGTACTCCACCGACCAGCACTGGCACGTCCCTCACTTTGAGAAGATGCTGTATGACCAGGGGCAGCTGGCAGCCACGTATAGCAGAGCGTTTCAGGTACAGCTGTGGTACATCTCTGGGGGGGGGCTCACTTGCCACGCTGACTGCTGGCTGCGGAGGTCTGGCTTGGTTTGGGGAGCAGCTTCAGCGCCCGTTCTCCAAGATGTTGCCCATCCCATGGGCATGGAGTGGCCCCGTACTCCCCTTCATTTACTGGTGGTCATCCAGAAACGTTGCACAAGCCTGTGACAGTGTAGCCCCAGGGGTTTGGGTGTAACAAGGGAGGAACAGCCTTCTGGTTGGTCTTTGCAAGTCAGCAAACACATGCTGCTGCCTCTGACACTGCTGTAATTCCAGGGTTGCTCTCCAGTGCCTGTAGCTTCCTATCAGATGAATCCATGCCATGTTTAAAATCCCTGGACTTTCAAATGTGTTGCCCCTTCTTTGCCAGCTCTTTAAATCTGAATTTGTTATTATATCTGGCTGTGTCACTTGCCTCCCCCCTGCCCCTTGTAACATCGGTGTCCACCCTGTGCCTCCTGCAGATCTCTGGTGATGAATTCTTTGCCGATGTCGCCCAAGACATTCTGCTCTACGTCTCGCGGGACCTGAGTGACCAGGTAGGTTGTTCCCTGAGCTGGGCCAAAGAGAGAGCTGCTTACCCTGCCCTGGGACATGCTCCGGGGCTGCTTTTGCCTCCCTCCCTTCCCAGCTGAGCTCAGTCTGGGGCACTGCTGTGGCTCGCTGGCTGGACTGCCTGCCCAGCAGTGATGGGGAGCTGTCTGAAGGTGCTGTCCCAGGAGCTGAAGGGTCTCTCTGTTGCTCTTTTCCCAGGCTGGAGGCTTCTACAGTGCAGAAGACGCAGATTCCCACCCGACGGCCACATCCGGAGAGAAGCGAGAAGGAGCCTTCTGTGTGTGGGCAGCTGAGGAAATCCGGACTCTCCTTCCTGACCCGGTTGAGGGGGCCACAGAGGGGACGACCCTGGGAGATGTCTTTATGCACCACTATGGCGTGAAGGAGATGGGCAACGTGAGCCCCATGAAGGTGAGGGAGATCAAAAACCTGCGTTGTACTGGGAGCATCAGTGGGGGATCCCCACCCCTGGGGCTTGGCGGGGATGGCAGAGCAGCCCCAAAGCATGTGGGGTCCAGCCGCTCCTCAGCCCAGTGGCGTTTGTAGAACAGGGCTCTCCTTTCAGGACCCCCATCAGGAGCTGAAGGGCAAGAATGTCCTTATTGTCCGGTGCTCCCCGGAGCTGACGGCGGCCCGGTTTGGGCTGGAGCCGGGGCGGCTGGGCGCCCTGCTGCGGGAGGGCCGGCGGAGGCTGTCCACAGCCCGGGCACAGCGGCCACGGCCACACTTGGACACC